TTAATAGGAATAAAGTGCATTTTAACTTCTTGAGCTGTATAATGTTATTTTTGTTTCAAGATTTTTAGTGTTTGTTTATGTTCAAACAATGAACACTGGTATTCTCTTTCAATCAAAGACCTGAATGTTGATATTAAGTGAAAGGATCATTTTCTATATAATTAATCTGTATTTCTCCTTTTTTTAATTTAAATTCTGTATCTAAATAGTATTGTGAGAATCTGCAGGTTAGAGTTTTATTGGCTCTAATCACCAATAGGTGATTAGAGCCAATAAGTGAAGAGTCATTAGAGCCAATAAGTTATTGTGAAGTCAGGACCGTTAGGCCTGCTCACTTTGTTGGTGGATGGGTCTATTATAATCTGCCTCAAGATCATAGGATCTTACTGGCTATTTTCTTATGACACCAGTTAAAATAAATTTTGTGTTGTAAGTTGTGGTTTGGGAATAAGTATAACTATATGTTTGAATGGGAAGGGTCGTAAACTTGTTGATAAGGGTGATCAGCCATCAGAAGAAGCTAGCTCAAAACCCATTAAATAAAAACAAATAGTTTAATAGTATAAAGGAATCAAGGATTACATATAGATAAATGTAACATACTGTCAGATTCTCTGACTCAGATATCAATCAAATTCTATTGAATATCTAGCTACTTATACCTCTAGTAGATCAAGAGAGAGAGAGTTTACATTATTTTGTGCATAATACCTCGTGATAATATGATGGTGTCTTCAGGCACAGGCTAATTTATATCGTCGATACAAAGATTGAGAAGCTTCACTGATTTCTTGTTCAGTGGAGAGAGAGGAAAAACTGGAGACGAGGAGAGCTGATGAGGGTGGACTAGATGAAGGGAACTTCGAGGTGAGAGTGCCCTGAAAATGGGTTGTTTAGCCTTTTTATCTAAAAATTTCGAGTGTTAATTTGTTATACATGTGATGAGATGTTAGGGATGACTCAAACCAGCACATGTTCATCAACATGTGCAATAAGATCTCACCACAGGAAGTTGATAAACTGGAAGGAAAGTTTTATTTCCCTTTTTCTATCAATTTTCCACAAAAGTGTAAAATTTGTATGTTTCATTTTACCCAAAAAAATAATTATTTAATTCCACAAATAATTAAATAAAGTCTAAAGAAATCTTTCAAATCTAAGGAAAGACTCTTGTTCTATGTCTCCAGATTCTCACAGTATGCTTTCCTATTATCTTATTGCTATAATTCCAAAAAAAAGAAGAAAAAAGGATAACCTCTCTGGTCTTTGAATTGACAAATTATAGAAAAACAGTTTTATTTTAATTATAAAAATTTTAGTGAAGTCATTTTTAGTACTTAGATACATTAGATTTTCTTAAATATGTTGATAATACTTTAATAATGTGGAAAATAAAACTAGATGTGAACCAGTTCCCATGTTTTGTCAACCCTAACCCCCTTTTGACATTTTTTAGAATTAGAGAAAGAAGATAATAGGAGAGCACAGAACTTAGATGTAGAATTTGAATTAATGAAAAAAAAAAATACAGACTAATGTTCCCAGAAAACTAACTGTTACATTCTTATGTGCACCATCTCTGTCAAATGATTCCTTTCTTGTAAATTATCAGCCTTCAGTGCTTTAATTAGAAAAGTACATGTTTGGAATCTCATCAAAATTAGTTAGTCATAATATTTACATAATTCCAATCATTTTTACAGTTGAACATATAATATATGTAAGAAAAGTCATTTTTCATAATAATTATTGTAATTATATATGGTATGTAATAAGATTTTTCAAAAGTTTGGTGTATGATATTTATTTTTAATAGATTTACATACAGTAGAGCATCGATTATCCGACCCCCGATTAACCGTCACATCGGTTAACCTATTGTTCTAATCGGCAAATTTCAAATGTCCGCTAGTGATGTGGCGCTACAATATTTGGCTATGTCTTGGCTACTTTAATATTATTTTTGTTAATTTTTGTGTGTTTTAGCTGGCAACACTGGCTCAACCATGAAAGGGAGGCCAGTATTTAAACGAGACTTAATTTTCTAATTATGAGTGATTGTTTGTTTTGTGAGCAATAAAATAATTTTTAACGATACAATAGAGATGATTATTTTTAAAAATTTTTGTTAGACTTAACATGGATGAAAATTCAACGCAAAGTAGCTTAATAGCGATATACTAATATACTAATTACATGGGATATACTAATATACTATACTAATAATGTATTTTTTTCATTCTTTTCGGTTATTCGATTTTTTCAGTTATCCGACCAACCTGAGTCCCCAATTGAGTCGGATAATCGATGCTCTACTGTATTTTATTTTATTCTGTTGTATTATATTTATTTTGATTAGTTCAGTTTATGTATTTAATGGATTAGTTATATTATTTATATTTTATATTTTGATTTTTGACCAAATGTTTGAACCGTTTTGAGTTCAAATTTTTATTGCACATTGGTTCGATTATAGAATGATTGTGGACGTTCCAGTGGACTGAAACCTGATGATGGCCTATTGATCAAGTCAAAAACGTTATTTAAAGTAATAAAATGATTCTCAGCAATAAGGTGTATATGATGTATAACATAACAAAATCTCTCAACAGATCATCTGTTGAGAGATTTTGTTATATGATACAATATTACACAATTTTATTAAGTTATATTGTAATTAAAGTTATAAAAGTTATTTTCTATATAAGATCTCCTAACAGCCAATAAAGTAATGCAACTCATTGCTGAATTTTTTTATTTATTAAATGTTTTCAGCTATTTTAGTAGTCAGGATTGAACATACATGTAACAGAATTCTTTTAAATTTAAATTTTAACTCATGTACACTCACTCAGCATTCATATGTAAATCAAAAACACAACACCTAAATTTGCTGAGAAAAAATTTAATGAAAAGCAAACGTTTTCAGCCAAATCTGTTGGCCATCATCAGACTAAGATATTCAAATATAAACAAAATAGAACAAAAATTTAAATACAAATAAAATAAAATAACGAATGAAATATAAATATAAATGTATAAAGAAAAATAAAATAAAATAAAAATTATTACTATTATTTTTATTTAATTTTATTTTTCTTTAAGGTGTTGTGTTTTTGATTTAAATTTTAACATTCTTAACAATATTCTAAATATGAATTGATGCCAAATAACTAAAACAACATTGAATACTAAAATAATAAAGAAGCCATAAAATGCAAACAATGATGATAATCCATCATAAAATCCATTGAATATACAGAATAATAATTAGTGTGCAGTTTTGACATCATCTTGGTTTATACCATACTTCCATGCTGTGGATAAGCAAGTGAAATTCTTATGATTATTNTTAAAATAAAATTCAGGGTAATCCTTAACTCTCTCCCTCTCCCCATGGGAGAAAATTTCAGAAAATTGTTTCTTTGTATACATTCTCATGACGTACCCTAACTGTGTGCTAAATTTCAATTTTCAACTCTTAACTGTTTTGGCTCTATACTTAACTCCTTCCTCCTCTTCCCTTGGGGGGTGGAATTTCCAAAACTTTTCTTATTAATGTGCATTCTCATGGCATACCTTACTATACTGGAGTCAAAAACACAAAAAACCACATCTAAAATAGTACAGTAGAAGCTGAGTTCTTCAGGGTAATCCTTAATTCTCTCCCTCTTCCCCATGGAAGGGAATTTCGAAAAATTCCTTCTTAGTGTACATTCTTGTGACATACCCTAACTGTTTACCAAATTTAAACTTTTAAATTGTAAATTTATGAGGCCTTTTTTTTACAAAAGAAATATTATATTTTTAATTGTGCTGGGATTGTCACCTGTGAACTTTTAGACTGTTTTGCATTTTTTTAAGCAGAGGCGTATCCTCTAAAGAAAGGTCGTCTCTGCAGTGGAAGATAGTTGTTCCTGGTGATTGGACATGACAAAAAGTGAAGACATTTTTAGTCTCTGTTACGTTTTATTAAATTGTAAATTCGTCAGCCCTTTTTTTTACAAAAAAAAAATATAATATAACAATTTTTCTTCATTTTAATGAATCTCATTTAGTAATTTTAATTTTACAAAAGACAAAAAATATTTTTTTTTGTCTTTTGTAAAATTTACGCAACATAACACGGTTTCACAACAAATGAACAAAAAATATTTTTTTAAAAACACATATATCATAAGTATTATTATATCTCAAGATCCTTTTTTCACATTTTGTAGTAAAACAATACAGAAAACAAGTTAAAACCAGTAATAACAGATTGTTGTTGGTAAATTATTGGTAAAGATCTCAGTAATGTTAGAACACCAGTGACTTCCTATGACATTTAGTACTCCATCGTAATGATGAAAGGAACCTTAAAGCACAAGAGATCCTATAACCCATTGTATTGCATTTCCTAGAATGACAGTAAGGAGTAATTTTTCATTAAGATTTTACTTGTTCATATATTAATCATGCTTCCAAAGATTGCTTTCATTGTGATCAAACTATCTTGGACTGCATTTTCTTCAGATCTTTCCCCAATTGAACATGTCTTCAATCTGCCTGAATATCAACTGAAGCCAACACAGAATCTTCAACATCTTAAGCAACAGCTGGAACATTGCTTAGAAAATTCTGCAACATAACAACATTGTTGTTCTTGTGTACAAAACCTTGTTGGGCTCCTTGCCATGTATTTCCCTTGTGTATTGCAGCCAGAGGTAGCTTTACTACATATTGGATATGTATAATCTTCACAAAATGTGAGTGTTTGTTTTGAAATCATAAGCAATTTTTTATATAATATATATCTCCTTATTGAATCCACACCATGAAGATAAAACACTTACTTCAGAATGTTTCAAAATTTACGTCAGAAAGTAATTCCTTTCCTGTATAATTCTCTTTCCCATAATATTTAATTATACGTATTGTATTATATACTTTAATTAACATTTTGTAATCATAAATACAAATAATTTTTTTCTTTACACATCATAAAGTATAGCACTTACCAAACATTGGAGTAAAACTACATGCAGCAATATAGGGTCCACTTAATAATAATCCAAGAACAGTAATAACTGGTAATGAAAGCTCACAAAAAATTAATTTTAAATCAATTCTTCTAAAACCTCCTTGATATACCTGAAAAATTGATAAATCATGCTAAAATAAAAGAAATGCACCTTTAAAATTATTTGAAAATGCATACTATTTAAACTAATATTGAATTATTAAAAAAATATATTAAAAGCAAATAACCACAATAAATTTTTAAAATTGTTAACCTAAGTTACTGTTTTAATTAAATTTTCATTGAGCTCATGTTACATTACAAACATGATACAAAACAAACTTTTTATAAAGATACTAGCTGTAAGGACCCGCTTCGCTGGGTTTTTATTTGTTCGTACATTTGTATGTAATATAGTTTTTTTATATATATATAAAAGACTGTTTTTCTAAGTAATCTAGAATCTAGCTGCAAGGACCCGCTTCGCTTGGTTTTTAAAAAGTAACAATAGTGAAGATTAAGATAATTACATTATAGCCAATCTTACCCGTTTTCACAGAATGCAAGAATTAGGTCTCCCGTTTCCAGACTAATTAGAGAATTTTTACGTTTAGTCAAACGAACTGGAACGTTTACAATCGTTCTATAATCGAACCAATATTCAAATTTTATGTTCAAATTTAATTCGAACAAATTCGAACAAAACATTCGAAATAGAAAGCCACTTTCAACCACTTTCAGCCTCATATCTCCCGCACCCTTATAGCTATCGAGACGCAACCACCCCTATGCACGAATGGAGACTTGGGGCTACCACCACATACAAACACCATTCACGTGCGATGTGTACTTTTGGCGAAAAAGTGAAATATAGGGACATACATGTCCATTTATATATATATATATATATATCTGTTATCTATATATGTATATATATAGATAACAATTTTTTCTACTTTTATTTAAAATCAAGATTTCAAAAATATACTGTGTATAAATAGATATATAAAAAGACTAGGACTGAAAAATGAAAGTTAAATTTCTTGAAATTTCCAGGTTTTCCATGTATCTTGACAAAAAACTGTTCAGATGTTGAACCTACAGGTGATCTTTCATTGATCTGGTAAATTTATTCCTTCAAAATCGTATCAATACATTAAGTAAAAATCTATATTGCCACCATTATGATTTTCTACAATGCTGAGGATTACCCAATAAAAATGCATGTAATAATGTCTGGATGTATTCTTGATCTATAAAATTGCAATTCCTTTGACTCATATTTAAAATTTATGAGATGATCATACAAATACTACTAACTAGAAACAAGTCAAACCCACATCATCTGTGTGCCAAAATTAAACAGTATCTTTCACACAGATCAGTTGTGTTGTAGCAAAGATAAAAAATTTATAACCAAATGACTTGAAATACTCAATTTTTCAAACAAATCAAGATTACTAAATACCCTCTTTTGAATGTTGGAAAAAATTCTAAAGTACAGTGTCCCTACTTAATAGTTTTGTTTTAAATTCCATAACTTTCCTAACCAACTTTGTACAAATTCCCTGACCCACATGTTCCTTACAGAATGGCATATTACTGTGAAATTTCACACCTACAGCATACAGTAAACATATAAGTAAAAATTATTTTACATCAATACTTCAACAACCATTTTTCCGTTTAGTGATAATATGACACTACAATTCCGTCTGGACAATACAATGATGTAATACACAAAGGAATGAATTTCAACTAATAAATACCCATAACCTTTTTATAATGTCTTTGTTCAAAACCATATTTATCATATACGATTACATTGTACACAAAGAATTTTGTTAAAAAAGGAAGGCAGTCAAGTATAGTATCACTTCACATCGTACTCAACAACATGCCATCATAAAATGCTTGCCATGCATACAACATGCTCTTTTCTTGTTCAAAGTTAATGCATACCCCATAACTTGTGACTTGAAAATCTCTAGTCCTTCCAGCGTTCTGATATGTTCCATATCAGAACACCGGAAGCACTAGAATGTGTCACCCAATATGGGAACTTTGTATACCCTGTATCCTCTCCTTGTTGACTACATTGCAAAGAGGTTTCTAAACCATGGGATTACACATGTCTTTCTTATACAAAGTTTTCATATTAGGTGACAGATTCAATAAAAATCTTGAATACGTAGGATCTACTATATGATCCTTATGTAAATGTCTAGCTGAACATAGCTATGAGATTATTAACAAGAAACATACCAAAAACCTTGCCATATATGCAACAGATAACAATGTACAGTACATGCTAATCTCCATGATGCCACCATCATTAGAAGGGCCAACCAATAGGAACATATCAGAATGCTGGAAGCACTAGAGATTTTCAAGTCATAAGTTATGGGGTATGCATTAACTTTGAACAAGAAAAGAGCATGTTGTATGCATGGCAAGAATTTTATGATGGCATGTTGTTGAGTACAATGTGACATGATACTATACTTGACTGCCTCCCTTTTTAACCCGTTTAGTTCTTCGCCCGAGTTAACTTGGGCAGGTTACATAGCCTTACATAAAACTCGGTCCTTTCGGCCCCCCAAAAATTTTTTTTTTTTTTTTTTTTGAATTTTTGGAATGTCTTTTAAGTCTCCAAATTTTTTCAAAAATTTTTACCTGCACAAAAAAATTTTATTGCGATTTTAATTAGCCTTTGATAAGGCTCGATTAAGGCTTAATTGTTTTTTAATGGAATTTTTTTAATCAAAATTAACATAATCCTTTATGTACAATGCAATCATATATGCTTTATCAAACACTGGAATATAATCAATTACATACTTCGAAGCCTGTTACTGATGCAATTAACATCAAAATAGGTTTTTTGAGGTTAATTGCACACCGGTAACAGGATTTGAAGTACGTAAGTAATCGTATATGATAAACATGGTTTTGAATGAAAGCATTATAAAAAGGTTATGGATATTTATTGGTTGAAATTCATTCCTTTGTGTATTACATTGTTGTATTGTCCACACTGAACTGTAGTGTCATATTATCATTAAATGGAAAAATGGTTGAAGTATTGATGTAAAATAATTTTTATTTATATGTTTACTGTTTACCATAGATGTGTAATTTCACAGTAATTAGTTATTATTAAATTTTTCTTCTTAGTTTTGTAATATGTCATTGTTCGATTTGCATTCTGAATATTGGAATGTTAATTGACTTGATAAAGATCTTAGTATTAGATAGAAAACGTTAGTCTGTTTAGTTTTGTACTAGAGAATTAAGGTATTTGAGGGGTTGTTTTTCAGTTAATATCTATCCAGTTTTCATTAGTAGAGAAATACAACAAAAAATGTGCACAATACAAAGATAAAGCTGAGCAGCAACCAATTACATTTGAATCCTACCAGCAGCAAAACTACTGAAATAAAAGATAAAATAGATCAAGACATTAAATAAAAACCTATTAGGCCATGTCAGCTTACACAATTTGCATCTTCAGAGTATATAAAAGTGACTACTGAACTGAGATAAGTACTGAAATGTTTGTTATCTAATTAACCTGCACATTCATGCAATAAAATAAGCAATGTGTTTAAATCCATGTCACCAGGATTTCCTGAAGAATTTAGTCTTTCAGAATGAAAATTTGGGTATCTACTAAATGAAGCATTAGGTCCATACTTCTGTAAGATATTGATTGATGAGATAAAACAGTCTAATTACACATTTTGTTATGATAAAACTACAAACGCAGAGAACTACAAGGAATGCCAAATATCAATTCACAACTGGTCAACAACTGTTAACGAAGCTGAGATTACAGTAGACCCCCCTGGGTTCATATAATGGGTGGGTCATATAGTTCATAAAATGGATTCATATAATACGGTGAAAAAATTGCAATCATATTCATATAAACATGCTAAAAGAGACTCGTATAATATGGTAAAACATCATTGCCAATTCGTGTCGCGACAGGATTGCTTGAATCTAGACCAATAGTGGATATTGCACAAACCATTGGGTTTAAACGAGCAGCGGACCTACTAAAAATCAATTATTATTTAACAGCCATAAAAATTATATTAATGATGTCTCCAAGGTTCAGTGAATTTTTCGCAGAAAAATAACTTATCAGAAAACACGTGCCCACTGTTCGATGTGCCGCTCCACAACGAAAACAAGCTTAAGCAATGGCGTCGTCAAACACTGCACACTTGGTAAGTAATCCTACAATTTTTTCTTTATAGCAGAGTTTATATGGATTATTTCCAAAATATTATATGTGTTTTGGAAATGTTAAGTCAAATTAGTCTAGAATTGATTAATTTTATGGAAGAAAACCTTTCAAACAGCCGTAGTCCCTAAACTGCACACGTGCCTGGCTGTGATTGGCTCATATATTTAAGTGCTCGTAAAACATGGAATTTATATAAAACGGAACGTATCTACTATATTATAGGGGGGTTCTATTGTAATCACCTTGAAACATTTTTTATTGGACATGCAACAAGTGACATTTTAAGTATATCATCCAGGCAGTCACTAATGAAGATTTTTCCCTGGAAAAAATGTTGTTATGGACCAAATATAAAAAAAAATATTTCAACTTATAAACAGTAAAGTACAAGATGTCACAGACAGTGGCTTGATGAACATGGCTCTACGTATTGCATAATGCTTTTCTGAAAAGTCTGCAAATGTTTGGTTTAGAAATGAGTGATCTTGTCATTGCCATTCATAGTTTCTTTGATGAACTGTCAAGTTGTTGGGAGGATTTTACACATGTACAGAAGAAACAAGATGTCCCAACATATTGGTTCATAAAAAATGTTACATCACAATGGCTTTCACTATCATCAGCTTCAAAAAGACTTTTGGAAGAATGGAAAGTCAATATGCATTATTTTCTGGAATTTGTTCCAAAACAAAAAAGCAAAAGTATGATGAACACAAACAATTACAAAAGAATTGTAAATGCCCTTAAAAATTCAATAATCCAAGCATAAGTAATATTTGTAGTTGACAGTACAAACATTTTTTGAATTCTTTTCAAAAACATTCCAGAAGAAAGAACTGATGATACATCAACTTTGTGATGAAGTGATGCTATAGT